AATCCCAAAAATTGCAAACTTTTCAATTGAGAAGTGCGCACATAAAAAGAGGGTGTTTTGAGAGTACCTAGGACCCAAAACCCGGTAAATAGTTATGAAAAACGGAAAACCCGGACTTGGAAATTGGAAAATCCTGACATAAATATGTATACTTCAACGTGGTTCACCTTTTCCCGTGTTCTGCATTAAAAGACCTTCGTACCCGCAGTAATTACCAGCAAGAATATTTGTCTGCAAGGCACAGGGTAGATCCTTGCCTTTTTTCTCCAAATGAAGATGTCATCAGTGTTTGCGGAAGAACAGAATTTTATAGAAATTAATCGTAAATTGCGGAAATCTAGCAATTTCTCAACGGAACGAAGGAATTCTACACACTTGCCGGACGCAGATTTTCTCTCAATAATACACGGATTGTAAAAATTTCAAAATGTTTAGCGGGATTCTTAACCTGCTTCTTGTTGGATAGGATTTCATCATCGCATGTTTTTGTTGATATATAAGTTGTTGATAAATAAACTTATATACATTCAGAGGTGGTGCCTTCAAACAGAGGGGTTGGAGCTTCCAACAGGGGGGCTAAATTGACTATAATATGCAGTTTTCGTACGTTATTTTGTCAAATTTGCTCCGACAATAACCTAAAATTTTCTTCCAATAGGGGGCTAGATGCTTCCGATGTAGGGACTGTAGCGCCCTAGCCCTCCCCTGGCGCCACCACTGTATACATTCTATTGCCCAGTTGCCCCCTATCTGCTATTTTTGACCAGAAAGCTCTTATTTCCACATTGTAAGGGCGTGTATTTTGAATAAAAGTTGTTCAGCATGAAACTGTCTTTCAGAATATGTACATATAATGTGGTTTTAGCGACATCAAAATTTGAACCCCTGCTGATCATAACGCCATATGGGATTTGCGCAAATAAGGAATTCCCGATGTCCAATTGATGGGGCTTTTTTCCTGGTTATTCCCAGTATCGTATGGAACCTTTGTACCAAATTACAGCTTTTCATTATTTTTGTCCGGGTAAAATCGTAATTCCACCACACTACATGTATTAATTGAACAAATAATAAACGAAACACGGTCTGATCATTTTCTAGCACTATGGCAACATGAAATAAACTTCGCTTCTTAGAAAGCTGTAGATTCCTTTGATTTTGAGAATTCATGTTCGCCAATATGGTATATTTTGGATACATCTAAACTATATAAGAACAAAGTTTTGGATAAATAATTAATATTTCTTGTCTGGATTGTTAAATTGTTAAAATTTTTCCTAAAACGCGGAGTGATTACATGCTTTTAGTATAATTTCCCGAAAATTATCATAGCTGCGGGTTACTCATAGGACATATATATTAGCATAGTAGTTAAAGGTCTATGTGCTAAGTCAGTAACCTAAGACTGACAAACAACGCTTTCCGCGATGGTACTGCCTATGCCCAATTGTAATTACCGCACTTTTCTCATCCACTCATTTCTGTTGCAAGCCATGTGACAAAGGTGTTGGGTGTTACATTCTTTCACATCATCTATCCATAATCTTCGTGGTATGCCTCGCCTCCTTACACTTTTCACCAACCTCTGTGTGCAGCGGCGGATTTAAGGGAAACAGGGGGCAATTGCTTCTCACTCTGCTAGTTGATGCAAGTCTGGCGCCCCTTTCTTTTGGAAATTGTGTGCCCCTTTGGAAATGTCATCAGCAAAACGGAGATGGTTGATGTTCACTCCTCCAAATTTGACACCATCAATTCGTCATTATTCTTTAGAGGAACAAGTTAAAGAGAATTGGAGAAATAATAAACCACTGTCTGACGCCAACTGTAGTAGTCAACCATTCACTGTAATCATTGCAACTTAAGACCTTTGTTCTTGCTTTTTTACATAAACATGGTGTCGAACCAAACACTGTCGAGCCAAACACTGTCGTGCCAAACACTATCAAACGCTTTTATAAAGCCAATAAAAGTATGATATATCAATAAAAGTTGTTTCTTTTTACAGTGAAACTCTTGGTAATAATTAACGTAGCAACCTGAGTTCGATTCAAACCAATTGCAATCAATAAAATTTGCTAGTACCCTTACGGTGGCCCACAGGTGCCACGGCAAAACTTACTTTCTCACGGCAAAACTTTCTTTCTCACGGCAAAACTTTCTTTTTCACGGCAAAACTTTCTTTCTCACGGCAAAACTTTCTTTCTCACGGCAAAACTTTCTTTCTCACGGCAAAACTTTCTTTCTCACAGCAAAACTTTCATTCTCACGGCAAAACTTCCTTCTGTCATCCTAGGTATACCAACAATTATATACAAAGATTTGCATAAAAAACTTTTTTCACTTCTTTCAGCTCGTTTGTCGCATGAACCAGTTCACAAGGATGTAAACTATTTTTCAACGTCTTTTCAACAAGAATGTAACATGTGCAAGTATGGTGTACCTCAATCAGTTGCTCGGGCTCGGGTGAGTTTCATTTCCTTTCAGTAATCATTCGATAACTTTATCTCTTGAATAAAGCCGAAATTAGTTCGACTTATCGAAGTTTGATTTATCAGAATAGGCCTAAAATGAGTGTTTATAAAAGAAAAACTTTCTACATAAAGCAGTTGAGAAAACAAAGTTTAATTTTTCAGTTTTTTCAAATATTAATACGAAGGGAAGGGTAGGGCATGTTGTCACAGCCTTTTTTGGCAATAAAACGGTTCGCTATTTGGTCATTTTTGAAATATCAAATAACAATCAAGTATCAATGTAAATGACAATAGTCAAACAAATAACCACCCGTTTCCTTGCCAAAAAGAGGCTGTGACAACATGCCCCTGTGACAACATGCCTCTCCCTTCCCTTAACATTCATCGTCTCGAGCATTCGTTTCCCAAAAGAAGCAGAGTATTATTTAGAATCTACAATAAAGTACAAAAAATGCAACAAAGAACGATGCAGAGGGACCATACTGGAAAGTTCACTTTTTGCACGCCATAGGTTTTGCGCCAGTAATTTTGCTGTCTGATTCCTACCGCCAGCCTGCCTAAATTCGAGAGATACGCCACGCCACGCTGCCTAATTTTCAAAATATCATTTGGAAAAACTGTAGCCAGAGGGGGCAAGCTGTTGTCAAAATTTTCATTTGGGGGCACAGCCCCCCCGTGCCCCCCTGCAGCTACGTGGCTGTCGCTTGGCCCTGACTAATGCGAAGAGGAGCTAGAATGTTATGCGACTACACCCTAAAAAGTAGTATAAAATGTATCAACTGTCAACTGCTTGTTCATATCTAGCCTGCGTGCAGACTCGGTTGACAAAGTGCTCTCTACTTTCTCTCCTCTTTTAAATTTCCGAGTCTGCACGCAGGCTAGTTCATATCTTGCTTTTGATATTTGTAATTTGTCTGCAGATTTGCACTTTTAGAGACCAACTTTCTAGGGATCGGGTTGGGGACGGATTCAAAGAGTGACAAATAAGCAGTTTGCTCCTTATCAGACCTGCAATGAAATTTTTCTGTTTTACGGGTAAAACGTTTAATGCTTCCAAATAATGCCGTTTTTAAAAGTAATTTCATTTGATGTTGTTGGGAACTTCATAACCCAACACTCCGCTGGTTACACCCTTAGGCAACGACAAAGAAGAAGTCAGATTTTATCTCAAACATTTTTTCTGGCAATCAATTTACACTCGTGTTACTTCAACTCTACTCGTAACTACTGACGCGAAAAACATAATACATGAAACGTAGTTAATTGTGTAATAACCCCTCTGTGAATAATATGAACTCTCCGTTATGGTAACATTAGTATAATTAGTTAGTAACATAACAAAACAAAATTTCTGCATTAACAATAATTGGTTGCTAGGCGCATGCAACCTCGCAGCTTTCCACAACAGATGTCTACTACATAAATTTCTCAGCGCAAAGGGAGGGTTATAGTAGCATGATTTCTCATGATTTTCGACTGAAAAAGGTTTTAGTATAAACTGAGGTTGTATCTCTAAAGATAAATGTCTGCAACATACACATTACGGGTTCAACGTGAACGCGCTTAAACATGCAGTGTATAGAAACCTTTTTAATAATAAACCATGACATCTAAACAAATACGCCAAAATTTGGCGTTAGTGCCGCTGTTGTACGCGTAACATATATGTTCTCCAGTATGGTAGAGGGATATGAATTTGGAACGCCATAGTGCTGTACTCACTTAGGCCACAATGCCTCCTTTTCGTTTCAGCCAGTGAATCGGGATTTATGGAATTTCAATTCAATTCAATTTTTTTATATAATGCCAACTTTAAATATGTAGCTTGGGTTTCATTAAATTCGACCCAGGGAAAGAAGAGCTAATCGAACAAGGGCCGTTTAAATATAGAAGAAACAAAAATACTACATAAAAGCTAAAGGCAGCACAACAAACGTGTGTATTTAGGATAACTTTAAACGAAAAATGATTAGATTTTGATCATACAATTAACTAGATCGAAGCAGGTTTACAGGATAAGACAATAATGTTATAAATCATATACTGTTAAAATCGTTGTTTTTATGCAATTTTTTGATGATGGATTGACTAATTTCATTAATCGGGCGAAGAGGTATCATTAGTCACTGGATCTATTTAATTGCAACTGTCGATCATTGTAAATTCAGTGTCGCCGTGAATGTTTGTAGCCAGTAGGACTAAGACTAGTAAGGTCTCTCATCAGATTGTTCCACAGACGTGCTCCTCAGTGAAGGGGATAGCCACAAAATATCTTGTTAATGGAATCGATTCGATATGGTTGACAACAATAGCACTTTATTTGTTTACGTGATTTAAGGTATGGAATTTGCTACAAAAAGAGGGAGGCCTGATCAATTGGGTACATTGCTTTTAGAGCTATTCTACGGTCGACTTCTTTTTCCAACGAATTTTATTGCTTTTTTGAGATAGAGCTGCCGGGATAGAATCTGCAATACGATAAGTTTTGTATGATTAGGGGGGGGGGGGGGCATTGTTCCTAGAGGAAGTTGGGGATAACTGATTTTACACTCGAAAACTGACCTTAGTATTCTATACTTTAGCCAGAGGTCTCAGCCTTATAAATATTATAATCCTAAGTATTACTTCGAAAACCTCACTAAAATTTTTGCAAAATCTGCTTGATACTGTACACAGAGTAGCGGAGTGTGAGGTCATCAAAACCTTTCTTTGAACTTAAGAATTCTTGCTCTATAGAAAGAACACCAAGAACTACCTCTTTATGTCAAAATAAGTTGAATCTGTTCAAAATTGACTGAGGAGATATGGTCAGTCAAAGACACGAGATCTGGTAATGAATTACTGTTGGTTTGGCCTGGTTCATAGATGTAAGAACCAGGTCCAAATTACAGTAATTTCATGGGGAATGAGCTTGTACTCATTTGGCAATATCTCAGTGGATTCGCAACAGATTCAACTGCTTTTGTATATTTAGAAGTATTTCACGGTGTTCTTACAGGATATAGGGTCAGAATTCTAAAATTCTAAAAATATGTTTTTGTGACGTCATCACTTTGCCTTTCTGTTCCCTTTTGTTAAAAACAACATTGAGCAATATGTACAATGCTAAAGAAAACGATACGTCAAGTTTTCTTTGTTCATAGTGCAGGGCACCGCTCAAAGTAATCTCTTACCGAACACTTCTACTTCGCATATTTCGATTACAACATCTTTCTCTTTCAAGCTTATCCAAAATCTGTCTCCCTTAGTACCTTCAGGGCATATGACTTTTATATACTGGTTTTCTTGAGTCAGTTTTAAGCCCAAGACGCAAGTAAAGTACGTCATATTTGAATCCTTTTCAAACTCGAACGATATATCTAAGGGCTGTCCAATCATGCGTTGAAATCCCTGTATACCAACAGCATAAATCTCTGCATTAAAACCAAAACTGCCAGCAAACCAGGGGTCTTCCTGAGCATCTGTTTTTGGACATGTTTCATCAGAGAGTGTTTTATTTCCATCTATCATCCCTGACACAGCGTCTCCACTCGAGATTGTGCCAGTTGCTATCTTCAAACGGCTCACTGCCGATGTTTCTCTCTCTAAAATATAATGAACTGACACTAAATATAGCTCAAAATTGAAGTGGACTGCGCGCCATTGGAGGACATGGCAAACCTGGACATGCAACACACGATTCATTATTTGATCCTAGGCGACTCATTTCAGTCAGTGACCCCATAACATGGGTGACACGAGCTTAATCTGACTATCCAATCAATTTTCCCAATTTCTGCCTGCACAATTTTATAAAACAATTTCTTTATAAGCTTCTGTTGACATATTGTGCAAGTAGAAAATATTCCGCCTTAGCAGACAATCAAAAAAGGGGTCACACAACACTCGAAATTAACCTTTTTGTGATCCCATGTGTCCAATGCAAGAGATTTGAAGAAGTCAGCACAAATAAAATTCTAGTACTTTGTCTTTTCTTTTAAGAAGATGTAACCTAAGACCTTTATATCAAAAATTAACATACACGCTTTTTTATAAGTAAGTTTTTGTGCAGCACAGCTTACAATCTTCCTTATCAATTTCCTAACTTCAGCACTAAAATGGTCTTAACACTTTCTTGACGTAACTTTGGAAAGTTTTACGTTATTGTGATTGCGCAGCAAAGAAGAAGATAAAATGCTTAAACTGATAAAATGCTATATTTCTCCAAGAAACCCTCAACGTTGTAACATCAACTATCGAAGAAAACCCAGCAAACAGAGTTCAACTGGTCATACAAGGAAACCCCACAAACGTCACTAAATTAACTATGCAATTTTAAACAGAAGTAAATAATTTCGACACCGTCTAATTCATCTGGTTCACGTTCAGTATCATTATCGGAATCATCATCAAATACCAACCGAAGTTTTCAATTTTCTTAGGTTTCAAAGACCCAGTCCTGAATTTTCTTAACTTTTCAAGAACCGAGCATAATTTTCTTATAAAATACTTTCTTATAAGGAAACATATATCAAGCTATCAAAGAAGTATAAAATGTCCCAATTTTACCCACACAATTGAATAGTTGTGATATAACCTTGAAGGCAACGAACATTTACTCAAGTGGCTTCAGCCGATTTGCTTGAGGACAACGGACATATACACTCTTATTGATTGGTCAACTGATAAGTGATAATCAGAAATATGATCAAGGAGCAAATATTTTATGGTTGGCATTTCTCTCTGATCAAATATAATATTTTTAGCATAGATGATGTCTTTTATTCGCCGGATTCGAGGGGAAGGGACTCTGTAGCCCTCTCCTTTTTTTGCTGAAGCATGATTTCAATGATGTGGCATCAAAGAAAATTGTCGAAAAACCACCATAAGAAATTGCCAAATTGTCGATAGCCCCTCCTCCACCTGTGCTCCGGCGTGCCTGATTTGACAAAACCACTGATCTCAAACAAGACTTGAGCGACCCTCTGCAGTCAAGGCTTTTAGTTCCAGCTTGTAACATTCATATTGCACCTTGTTGAGCTGCTTAGGATTAGGGCGTCCTAGTGGCATGTTTAAGTGCATAGCTTTGTTTTGATTGAGTTTATTAAAAGTTTCAAGAAAGTTTTTTAATGGAAATTAAGCCTGAAATTCTACGATGATGATCTTTTAATTAGAAAAGTTGGTGGAAATCTGCTTTACTTCATCAAACGTAATCATTCCATTTCAGCTCTAAAAATGCTCTTTAATTCATTTTTGAAACATTACTACTTATCCACCAAGTGCGAAAGCTCAAGCTAAGCTGTTTCCAAGCTGTAAACCGTCGGTTAATGTATAGGAGGCCTATAATAGGGTGTCCACAAGCCGCATTCCGCAATGGAATAAGGCAGAAAGACGCAGCCGCGATAGAAAAACTGCCATGACACAAAATACAACTACTTACTTTTAAGAAAAAGAGAACGTTTATACAATTAACCGTATTATGAGTTCTTATGGCTCTCATTTCTTCATAGAACAAACAGTTGCATTGGTCCTAACTTTTTTTAATATCTATTCACTGCATACTTTTGTGAAAACGCATCCACATCCTGAAAACCGTAAACCGTTGCCAATTTGCACCGAAAGAAGCAAGACGCACCTTACGCTGAAGCCGCAATACGCAGCAAACCCACTGCCAAATCCGTAGGCCGCACGTAGAAATAGGGTCGAGGCTGTGAAGCTGCATACCTTTAATAGGCCCCCGTATAGATACTGTGGTATAGAGTATTTGTCTTATGATTCAATAAGATATCTTCTATTATTGCTTTCAACTCAATCTGAGCCGATGGGAGGTTGCTTTTTTTCTAATGTTTCATACGTTCGCAATCACCAATGCTAGTAACCGTAAATTCTTTTTTTAGCCCCCCCTCTCATTTAAGCCCCCTCTCTTATTAGTCCCCCATTTTCAGAAGAAAAATTTAATTAGCCCCCCCACTCTCAATTCAGCCCCCTCCCCAAATTTTCATTGATGCTGGAGTAAGTAAACTTGACAAAAAACAGAGATTTTCATTTTATTCATTGTTCGCTCAATACTTCGAATCAAGTCAGAATCTTTTACTAAAATTACAGGCTGTTGGTGCTCCGAGGGATGAAGCCGACCTTTTAGAATGCTCGATTTCAGAAGGCGACATGGCCCAAGAAGATTTTTTAGAATAATTGATAATGAAGACAATAATATTGATATAGAAGACTGATTTGGTGTTTTTTATTTGGCAAATAACAAAAAACTAGTTTTATCACTAAACATGGTTTTTTATAACAAAATATTTATTAAGCCCCCTCTCTCAATTTAGCCTCCCTCTCTTATATCATCAGGTACCATCTTCTATCAGAAGGCTGGCTACCATGACCCTCCAACTATCCCAAAGTCTGAGTTTTGGTTTGTTGTCATGGTCATAGATAAAACTAAAGGGCTAATAGTGTAGATGGGCCCCCAAAACCACCTCTACAGTGTTTTTAAAGGGACACCATCCCTCTTTCCCGGAGTTCTTCCGCCAGAAGCCATTGACCCCTGGAGTCGTAGCCCATCCGCCCTCCTTGCCGGTTTCCCGCCGAGTTAGCCGTTGGCCATCGCTCGTAGCCCTGAGCTAAGGAACCCTGCCAGGTGGTACCAGTCGAGTCAGGCTGGACCTGTAAGCTAGTGGAGGAAAGGGACGCTTTAATTCACCATTCGTTTCCTGTCGGAGCATGCCATGCCACTGCCCTCTCTTATAAGCCCCCCTTTAAAGTGCTGAAAAACAATAAGCACCCGGGGGGCTAAAAAGAGAATTTACGGTATTACGCCTTGACCCCCCGCATCCACTCACCAGCATTGAGGCAATACCAGCCATAGCTAACATCATATGCCTCGGCGCACTGCAGGCATCGATAGCCCGGACAACTGCAGTCGTCAATGCAATATTGCCAATCGGTACATGGATTTTTCATTTGACAGTACGATCCAACCTGAAAAATACGACGACATTGATTTTTATTTCTAAGAAAGTATTTAAATTTTTTATGATTTCCTTACGGAAAGAGACCCCGTTGCTTAAAACTGTCTTTATCTTATGGGTATCAGTTCGTTCTTATGGGTACTTTCGTTCTTTGACCCCTGACCCGAATATAATTGTTCTTACTCCTGTCCAAAAAATATTCTAGAGGCAGATGTAGTAAAGACCGGGATGGTTGACCACTATCTGATTTATGGTATACGGAAAATAAACTCTTGGCGGCGCAAAAGAAATAAGCAAAAAGTTGTCGAGTCTCGCAACATGAAAAAATATGATAAAATGCTATTCCGTAAGGACCTAGACCAGATTTACTGGGCAAGTATCCTTAGTACACTTGATAATGATCCAGTTAGTATGGCAGCTACCTTTCAGGAGATTTTCGAATCAATCCCAAATCTTCATGCACCAGTAAGGAAGAAGAGGGTTCATAGAAAATGTGGAATACCATAAACAAAAATCAGCATTCAGTTAAACTTTCCAGTGTCGAAGTGAATGGTAAACATCTCACTAGAGAGAAGGATATTCTAGAGGCACTAAACAAGCATTTTGTTTCAGTTGGTCTAAATTTGGCAGACAAAATTATTTCTAAGCCAGGTGACGATTGTCTTCACAACATCAAACCAGTACAAAAAGAAATGGAATTGAAAACAATCGATGATGCTTTTATACTGAATGCAATCAAACAACTAAAAAATGGAAAAGCAGCCGGTCTAGACAAGGTGCCCATAACTGTTGTCAAAGATGTGGCAGACCTTTTGTCAAGCCCTTTGTCGAAGAGCCTTTGTCGATGATATCCAATTCATTTTTAATCAACGGTAAATTCCAAGGCATTTGGAAACGTGCAAGAGTAAGTCCTAAATTCAAATCGAGTTCCAAAAAAGGGTGTAAACAATTATAAGCCAATTTCAGTTATTTCACTTTTTCCTAGGGTTCTGGAGAGGATAGTTCACGATCAGTTATTTGACTTCCTTTTTGAAAATAATGTTATCGCCAAGAATCAATCGGTTTTTCGTAAACTGTACTCAACAATAACATCTTTAATATGCAGTACCGATTACTGGTATGAAAATATCGATTCCAAAAAATTGAACTTGACTATCTTTCTTGACCTAAGAAAAGCATTCGATACTGTGGACCACTCAATAATGTTAAAAAGTTGGGTAGATACGGTATAAGAAACATAGATGGGAATTGGTTTCAATCCTATTAAGAACAGCGGAAACAATTTTGTTCAGTTAACGGTCAGAGATCAATGACAAGCGAGGTAATGTGTGATATACCTCAGGGCTCCTGCTTAGGCCCTCTCCTTTTTATAGTATACCTTAAGCAATGTTTGAAATATTCACAAACTAGTATCTATGTTGATGATACAAATATCACGATCGTATCGAATGATGTCGAAGAGCTGGTCTTCGAGGCACAGCATGAATTACTAAACCTCTCGGAGTGAATGAGAATATGTAAGTTAAGTCCTAACCCTGAAAAGACTGAGTATATGATAATAGGCCATTCTCGTAATGTAAATGTATTAAATATCTCGAGTGCGCTCAAGCTCAACGGCGCTGATATTAAGCGTGTAACGAAGACTAAATCTCTAGGAGTAATTGTAGATGAAAACCTAAATTGGGACGAGCAATACAAAGTTATAAAAAGAAAAGTTTGTGGAGGACTTAAGTCATTAAAAATGTTAAAAAAAATAATTCCCCAAAAAGAATTTTGCAGCGTCTACCACGCCACTGTCGAAAGTCACCTACGGTATGCTAACGTTATTTGGGGCAGCCTCCCAAAAACTAAACTTGATACCCTCCAACATCTGCAAGACCGCGCTCGGCCGATAATTGAAAGCGCCAAATTAAAGGAAAACTGGACATGTAACTGGTTGAGCGTTGAAAAACTCATTCGATTCGATCGATCGGTTATGACGTATAAGATTCTGGAGAAATTAAGCACAGAAAGCCTTTGGGATAAATTTCAGCAAAGATCCTCGCAATCAAACTATGCAACAAGGTACTGTATGGATCTGAATATTCCTAGAATAAATACAGAGCATGTGAAACAATTTTTAACTACTCTGCTCTTAAAGCCTGGAACGACGTTCCAATTGATATTGGAGAACTCCCGACTATTTGTCGCTTTAAAAAACAACTAAAGGAGTACTTGAAGAGCTGACAGATTCGTCTATTAAAGCACGACCCCCTGGAAGAACAGCATTCTAGATTGAAATTACATCTTTTTTAATAAAACAAATGTATTTATAGGTAATTGATATTGTATTAAGGTAATCGTGTAAAAAGAGAATATTATATATAATTGTATTTAGTTTCAGTCAATACGGTTTAGGTGCTAGAAGGCCTCTATTCATGTGCAGGGACGTCGGAACGTTAATTTTTTCGAAAATCCGAGACTGGATTGTTCTTAATTTGTTCTTAAATTAATAGGGTGTAAGTAATACGATCGCTAGCTTATTCGTTATGGAGAGGTGTTCAGGCCTCATTTACCAACAAAGTGAATGCGACAGCCTTCATTTGACGAAAATCTTGAATAATCACTGAAAAAGCATCCACACATGGCTAAAAGTCTTCATTTTTTAGATGAAACGTTGTTCAAAACTGCATTTTACAGTAGCTCAACCTCAGCTTGTTCTTAATTTAACTTTTGACCAATTTTGAGGCTGGTGCTCTTATAAAATTGTTCTTATAAAAAGAAAAGAGCGTAGTCGTTTACACTACAGGACTTACCAGCCGGCCTCGCTGGTCTGTTGCGAAGTATGTCCAGTCACTTTTTTGGACCAGATTGGTTGGTTTCGTTACATTTGTCTCACTGTTCAGCTCGCAATTTTCGAGTCCAGATTGCTTATGATTGAAAGATTTGCAGTAAGCTGTATAAATGCAATTTTCCCTGCATTCATCCAGAGGAAGCGTCAGTTTCATCAATACGTTGTGCTCTAGGGCATACCCAACTGCTGATATGTTGAAATTCGCCTCTGTTTTGCAAGGAAGTCGTAAAATCCAGCACATGGCCAGATGACCATTGAGCAGTAAGCTGCGAAGAAAAAACAGTCTAGCCGCTTATACATAAAAAAGCTCACAAGGGATGTTACTAAACATATAATAACGATAAAATAGGTTAGATGATGAGATACTAATGAAAAAAGGGGAGAAGAGAAAGAAAAAAACAAAAAATCAAGGAAAAAGTAAAGGACAAAAATGCTGCCCACTTTTTTCAACAAATGTAATCACACCAAGTCCATCTTACATTCTTACTTACACCATCAGACTTTGTTGTATTCGGTTAATTGAATCTCTTTTCTCAGACTTTGTTGAACTGAAAGCCTCTTTTGCACGGTAAGATTTTGTCGAAATCTTTTTTACAAAGGTATTGCGAAAACGGAGAAAGTTGCTTCGGTAGCCATAGACAGGGCTCAAGCTTTGAAAAAGTGTCAAAATAGAGAGCAAATACATCAATTTTATACTGGTCTTTACTTTGGACTAGAGGTTCTCTTCAGGGCGTCTGCACAAGATTAAGGCAGGAGGGGCAGTGCTGGTGCTGAGGGCAAATAGCAGAAGTTTTTCCATTATCGTAATCGATTATTTGTGAAGGGTGGGAGGGGAAGGGGTGCAAAATAAAATATTGGCATCGAACTGCTCCACCCATACAGCTGGAATTTTTCCTATCAGGGTCCAGATGAGAGAACATAATGTAAACAGGGTCCAGATCGCATAATACAGCGTGAGAAACGAAATGTTTTTCAACGAAACGTTTTGTATAATTGCCAGGGTCTGACTAGAACGACGAGAGCCTTAGGAACACCTGTGCAAAGAGGTTTTTGCGTTCTAAAAGGCATAATTGCAGGCTAGATTGTGAATCAGTCATTTCTACCTTACAAAAATTATAACCTATAAGACCATGATCTCTCGATTTTATTCTCAAAGTATATGGTACTTTCAGACAGATAGTAGAATGTTTTCTGACATAAGTGGCTAAGTGGTTAGAGCATTTTACTACATTGCTGAACGTTGTGGGTACGAATCCAGGTTCCACATCCCCAAAGGGGTATCTGATGGTAACACTAAGGAGGTTACAGGCAGGGAGGAAAAGAATTGGCCACCCTATCTCTTCAAATGTTGGCCCAAGACCCCCAAGACAATGATACCCTAACAGGCAACACTCGACTAATCTCCGCATTGCACTATCATTGGCTAATCTTGAATAATCATAACCAATCTTGACAAAGGACGCCCGAGACAACTTGGAAAACTCTGGATATTTTCTAGGACTTGAAAGTCGTGAGTTGTCTCTTGAAATTTTGTATGTATGAACGTCTGGACAACTCTAAGCATCAGCGAATATGCAAATATATGGGATCTTAAGCAATGGAAAAAGGATCTTAACTGTTAATGCACCAGTAGACACACTTTGCTTTTTTTATGTTCACTCAATATGTTCATACAAGCAGTGGTTCTTTTTTCCTGCCAGCAGATTCCATAGTTACGAAGCAATGTTACTCTACTCCAAACAGAGAAATGATAGCTTGGAACCTAGAATTATAAATGCTTTCAATGAAATTTCTTGCTCACTCGTGCAACTAGGGTTCAAAATTTCATAGAAAACAAAAGGATTCCGGGGATTTTAGCACAAAACAATAGGATTTCAATGACAATCACATGTAACAGATTTTCATAAAATGATTTGCCCCTCGAATATTTGTAGAATTAGTTCCAAAGAAGGTTAATATCAGGTATCAAAAAAATACTTATGTAGCAAATCTCAATTAGAAAAAGAACTTGAACTGTGTAAATTTGAGCATTTTACAAACCTGAGAGGAACAAGAGCTTTTTGCATCATACCCAACATAATACCTCTGTAGTATTCTCCTAACGTCTTGACGCAGGTACTAAATCTGTTCGCGATTAACGCTTTGCTTGCATTTTAGATGTCACAGTCACGTTTATCTAAGCAGATCCAAATTTAGAATTGAGCCGGTGGCAGTAGTGTCAAACACGCCGGTTACAAATAGCAACGGACATTTACCAGTCGATCAAAACAACTTCATTTGTCTATTTATATCAGTATTAAATGGAATTTGCCTGGAACTCCGAAAGGGAAAACAATCACTACACTAAATACCCCTCGTGAAGATCTTTATCGATAAAGTTATAGCACTCTATTATTGCTAAACGAGAACTATTTCATTTCGCAAATATAATCAAAACTAATGCTAAAAGCGAAGGAAAGTTAAGTGTCATAAATATGGATTTAGATTTTAGCATTTGCAAGCCTGAAGCTTTGCATTTACAATTTTTGAAGTTTTCACTAAATTTGATTAAACGTTTGCTTGCCCTAAGTACGATCCATGCCAAAACGCCTTTGAATTAAACACCAGGGAACGACGTAGGCTTGCTCTAAAACAACCCCCAGCCTACTAAAACGCTTTCCCACCAAGGTATAGTGTTGACCCACAGGGGCATCAGGACCGGGGGAGTGTGGGGGTGTCACCACCCCCCCCAATAGTATCTCAATAGGAAATTTCAGGTAAAATCTGCTCGGTGGAAAAAGCGCTTTTGGTATTTCAGAGACCTTCATGTCTTACAATCAATAAAGAATTAAGCAAAGGTAGTTGCTCCTATGGTTGAATATGAAATTCCTTGATATGAATGAAGGCAAACAAACTAATGATTTGAAGATTTGAAAATTGCTTGTTGGCAATAAATCCAAAAATCCAGGCCCTCTTTAAGCAAAATTGTGCCTTGTGTCCGTTTCTCCTAAAGTTTCTCGGTAGAAGCGTCAACTGCAATTCAACATAAACTCCAGATTCATTTTAACATTCAAAGGGAATGCTAAGATGGAAAGAGGGATCTAAATTGACAACCAGTGCTAATTATTACCTAGCTTTAGAAGTGACTGAAAACCTGAAGACCACTGCGAAATTGCTGTTTTTATCTGCTGTTCAATTTGTTTGCAAAAATAAAATAATTTTCAATAGGATTAGGAGGGTTGCTTTATTAGGGATATTATGTAAGGACGTAGGGATCAGGAAGTGCATTTTTCTGGTGATTTCTTTCACAAAACAAGCTGTTGCGTTGGTCCGAACCATCTTGAATAAATTGTTGGAGACGCATCCAGATCCTGAAGCCGTTAACTGTTGCCAATTTACATCTAAAGACGCAAGATGCATCTTACCGTAAAAGCTCTATTAAGCCCCCTCTCTCTATCAAGCCCCCTTTCTATTAAGCCCCTCCTTAACAAGCCAAATCTTAAAAAAAGCCTCCATTCTCTATTAAGCGAAAAACATGCTCATTTACTGGGTCTCTTAACGGGTGTGATGATAATAAAATCGTGTGCATTAAATAAAGCCCATGTAAAGACTTACCTGTGCGCCTAAAAACTCAGTCGAAATTTGTTTAGAAGATGCCCCAGAGTGATCAATTGATCCTAGTGATTTTGATGAAGATAGGGACCTTATAATTGATTTATTAGACTTTCGAAGCTGCCAGCGAAGTTTTCTGAGAACATTTGTAAGACATTTTTATTACAAAGTAATATACAAGGGTAATTTTATTATATTTTTTATTTTAAATTTTTAATAAACCCCTCTTTCTAATTCGCCCCCTATCTTTAAAGCCCCCCTCTAGGACTGAAACAACAAATAAGCTCCCGGGGGCTTAATAGAGCTTTTACGGTATGCTTCGAACGCAATCCGCAGAAAATCATTGCCACATCCGTAGGCTGAACTGCAAAAAGGGTCAAGGTCGTGAAGCCGCAAATAGGTTCCCTAAACTAACAGCATTGTTCTTGGAAGAAGAGCAGGGATGAAGCTAGAGACAAAAGTTCAACATCCTGACATTTCTATTCTACAAAACTGCCCTCAAGGATGTACCAAACAGCAAACATAAAATGACATTGTGGGAATCTAGGAGGCATCTCTTCAGATTATGTATCCCTAGAAGCAAGGCTGTAGGGGTCTGGAACTCAGGCTAGGCTGTAGCGGTCTTCAACAACATAGGAGAACGAACATTGAAAATTTGAAATCATATAAATACAGTACAGACTGAAAACATCTTGTACAGAGGGAGTACTTTTTGCGGAGTACATTTGAAAGTTTTTGACGCATTTAACTTTCGGCTTTTTCACAGTAGTTGTTTACACCGGTTGGTTATATAATAGTTTCGCTATTTGCTTTCGCAAGTATGAATTATTTATTCATGTATTAGCGAACATGAATTATTCAGGGATGATTATCAATTCGGGTTCGTGAAAATCAAATTTGAAGTTTACTTCCTCTAAGCAACACCTTAATTGAATTTCATTTATTGACCTGAAATAGTAATAGACTATTCATGGGGATTCTGACAAGTGAAGGTTAAAGTTGCATAATATTCCTTACATTGCAAACACTCGAGGCTGTGCTGTTTCGGTGTAATAACCACAAATAAGCAAGTGGTGCCGCTTTCTCAATTATTAACTTCACCAAAGCATTATATAACTAGGCCTAGTTTTGGACAGGGACCTGTCATTTTGGTTCAAAGTTTGACAAATAATTTCGCACGTCTGAAAAATGTGACCAACAATCCCGCAAACATGACTAAAACTAAAACTTGACCCATGATTCCACAAGACAATATCATTTTTCATATGTCAAAGGTCATATATCAATTTAATAAAGCATATGTTAGAAACTAATGCTGATAATCCGCTCTTTTCGATCGAAGGTACCTCTAGAATAATGACATGTCCCCGTACTTAAAGCTATCAATGCCCGAAAGAATCAGATACAAAAGTGTATACAAGACAGAGGTGGCGCCAGAAATCTTCCGACAGAGGGGCTGGAGCTTCCGAAAGGGGGGCTAAAATGACTGAAATAAGCAGTTTTCGTACGTTATTTTGTCAAATTTGCTCCGACAATAACCTAAAATTTCCTCCGATGGGGGAGGGGGGGGCGGGGGGCTAAATGCTTCCAACGGAGGGGCTGCAGCCTCCCCCCCTAGCCCTCCCCTGGCGCCACCACTGATACAAGATAATGTGACAAAATTGATTTGTGCGATGGGAATGGCTGAGCAAATCTGATACATGAATCAATTTAAAATCATGTAACAAGTTCAAATTTTTCCATCGAATTGGTTGGGAGAATCGGATGCAAAAATGAATCTAAGATCATGTGACAAGGTTGATTTTGTCGATCGGAAATGCTGAGAGAATCTGATACATGAATCAATTTAAAATCATGCAACAACGTTACGTGTTTGCATCGGACTAGTCAGAAAAACCAGATACAAAAAATTATTTTTAAAAATGAATCTTATATCATATGATCAGATCTTGTTTTCGCATCGGAGAGGCTGCGAGAATTGTATACAAAACTAACATAATACCATACGACCATTTCGAGCTTTTGTTTAGTAACAAATTCAATACCCTGTGCAGGGATTGATTGTTTATTTGATATTGTGAGAGGGAAGCGTATCCAAAAACGAATCCAATAACGTGGGAATATTACTTTCAAGGCTTCAATATGCACTTGTTTTTGCATTCAGATAGCATAAGAGTTCATTAATTATTGAAAAACTCATTATTGTTGCCTAGCGTCTTTCTGGCATTGCAGACCGATGTCACATGACATTTGATTAATTTGTAAGCGATTGTATCATGCCACCATGGATAAGGATGTCACATTCTCCCACGCATCTCAATCAATGGCGTAACGTACGTTAAGGCCGATTTCCACTTGACATTCTTTGTGCGCGTGGGCGGAGCGCCCAAATCTGAGCATGCGTAGCGAAGGGCTGCTGTCAAGTGGCCAAGCGCACAAAAAATTGAGACCCTATCAACTTTCTGGCGCTCACAGCGGATGCAAAATCGAGACCAATTGATTTTAACTACGCATGCTTAGATTTGGGCGCTACGCCCGCGCGCACAAAAAATGTCAAATGGAAATCGGCCTTTAGTTCGATAACTAAGGACATCCGACCAAATGAAAGGGGACCCCAAAAAATTTTTAAATCCGTGTTCTTAACACTTTATTCAAGTTAACTTCATATTCGAAAACGTTCAAAGTTCTTCAACTGAAGCTGCTACAACTCAGCCTTCATAACGAGAGAAAAGTATAATTTTTTAACTTGCTATTGTGATTCACGTACTGTGGCTACATACAGCGCTGGATGGGACTTTTTGCCGTCCCAACGGTGGGGCCCCGTTTCAATTTTTCCTTAGGGAACTAGATGCCTCTGCTACGTTACTGATCTCAATTTTTCATCTTTCTGAAGTATTACCATCTTGGTTGGCAAGTAAATTTCCTTTGTGAAAAATTTAATTATCTGTAAATTGACGCAATAATTAATTTGATGATTCTTAAATTTACTGAAAAACTCTTCATGCTTTCTACAATTCCCCTTATGACGACGAGCTTATGAAGCCCCGAGGCCAAAGCGTAAGACCCCCAAGCAAAAAGTGTAGCAACTAAATCGTTGGATCACAAGTGTATGAGAAATCGGTAAATACAAATTTCTTGATGAAAAAAGTTATGAAAGAAACAAGATAACGGGCCGTTACCAATGGGTCGATATGTTTACTGGCCATCAATTTGTTGCCGACAGCTTGATTTTATTTAGAAACAGAGATAAATTAATTTTCAAACAGAAATTTTAAAGAAAATTTTGCAATCATATTGATGTTTTATCATTTTTACTCAGGTTTGAAAGCTCTTTCCGATAACATCATCAGATTTTAAAAATTTAAAAGTCGAAATTTTGCTATTGCTAGATGGTTATGCGAAATTCCCTAATTACATTCACTAAAGATATGATAATTGACGATGATTATGCTTCTCAAAAAGCAAAGAAAAAAAGGCAGGAAACAACGGCACGAAACAACAAGAATTTTGCATATTTACTTTAAACTCATAGTCTTAAGCATATATTTTTTCACATAAATATTGAGTTATTTTAAACATTTATAATCACATTGTATATTGAACCACCCAGTGTTAGGACGTGTTAATATTCTGAAATGGAAGATATAAATGTTAGAATTTTTTAAGTTGCGAGGAAGCATACAATATAAATTACTTTTTTAGACGCATTGCAGTGCTCCTGGTTTCCTTTATCAATGTAAAATCTATCCTCTATGTCTATATGTCTTTGATAGGGACCATTATAGGTTAGCAGCTTCGCGTCTCCGAGGCTCCACGGTTCCGAGGCTCCATGGCTTCACGGTTTTTCGGCTTACGGGTTCTACAATCCCGGACAAAAATTGTTGAGAATTTTCGAGGAAAGTTGATATTTTCTCTCTCTTTTGAAAAATTACTCCCCCCCCTCCCCCAATT